TCTATTGATAACGCCTCCCTCGTGAATTTGCAACCTTTGTTTCTTCTTCCAATTTGTATATATACCCATTTGAGGAGATGAGGAAAGGAGAGTGGGTACCTGGAAGCTAGAAGCTATAACTAAACTTTGGTGGACGACCGAACTCGCAAGAGAACTGATCGGGAAAATTGTCAGATTCACTGCCTTGCCAGTGTCGCCAGATACAGAGAGAGGGGGAGACACTCAGAATTTAGCCCTAATTTGCTATGTTATGTTCATTTCGTGGATTTGGGGGAGTTATTTAGCCTCCGTTTGGGAAGGAAAATGGGTTGACTTTTTGGCTTTTTGACTTTTTTGACTATATATGAGCCTGCGCTCAAAAGCTTAGTTTGGGAAGGGCTTTTGGCTTTTTGGTTTTTTTGATTTTTTTGTGAGAGAAGTGTAATGATTATGGGGTTGGATGGGATGTTTTGTCTGTTGTGGCTCATGAGTCTATTCTGTCTTTTATGGCTCATTGAGCCAAAAAAGCCCAATGAGCCCTTGCCAAACCAACCCTAAGATTTCAACTTTTTTAATAATTATCTCTAATTTATTTAGAGATAAATATCAAAATATCACTTTAATAGTGTGTCATAATTTTTTTGGCTTCACCACCTCAATGTGAGAAGTAGCTTAATTTGATTGGACCAAGACTTGTCATCTTAAAGACTACATTATTTTATGATTTGATTCATATAATCTTGAATTAAACAATATTTAATTTGTCAATAATTATATTATATTTTATAAACCTTTGTAGTACGTGGCAATTTGTGCAAATTAGTCCAATTAGCAACTACTTTCAGGAGAACACAAGTGCTGGTATCAGTCTGTTACTCGTGATGGCACACATCGGCTTACTATATACTAGCCGCACTGGAATGTATAATTTAAATAATTTATTATAGTTATATTTGTATTATAAAATAAATTTTTTTTATAAATCTAAAATATAATAGGGAGTTAGAACTAACAAATATTTTAAATATGATAACTATCTTATACTTAAGTTCATACATTCATTTTTTTCCATAAATTTGTCATTTAATTTTTGTATTATAAAATAAAAAATTCTTATAAATTTAAAATATAATAGGGAGTTGTAACTAACAAATATTGTGAATATGATAACTATCTCATACCTAAGTTCATACATTCATTTTTTTCTATAAATGTGTCATTTAAAACATTGATTATAAAATTATGTTAGTCCAAGTAAGTCATTTAGCAACATGAACTATATTTCTATCGGACGTTATTATAGCTTTAAAAATAAATAATGTAAAAATGGGTACTGTTACAAATAATGTAAAAATGAATACTACTACAAATAATGTAAAAATGTTCAAAGGCCCCTTTAAAGAAAATAACAAAAAAATGCCCCCACTACATATACACATAGGTACACAAAAAGAATAAAATTCATCAAACCCTAGAATCTTACAATTGCCTAACCAATTGTGACATTGTTGATGGTTTAATGCAACTTCAATCTTAACGCAGAGTTTGAACAAAACTTTATATCTAATATGTGAACACTAAAAAAACTCGATGGTATGTTAGAATATATAGCTAAAATATGAAGCATTTGAAAATAAGATAGAAATGAAATTGGAGATCATTATTAGATAGGAATGAATTTGAAGATAATTATTAGATTAAAGATTAAAATAAATTTAAAAAAGGGATCATATGAACAATATAATAAAAATAAAGTTGGAGATAATGATAGGATTGGGGATAAAAAAAAAATTAAAAAAAGGAAGAAATAAGAAATAAAGATAAATGAAGATACAATAGAAGATTAAGCAAAATAAAATATAAAATAAAAAAGCGATAAGGAGTCTTAGATAATAAAAATATTTTAAAAGTTTAAACTTTTAAATAAAAAAAATATTAAGAGAAAAAAAAAGTTTTTTATTGGAGAAAAATAAGGATGAAGAAAAATTAAAAACATAATTTTGTGAGAGTAACATGTAGGAAAAAGACTATCAACTGTTTGAGAATTGAGTATTGAGACTTTGAAAATTTTAGAGTACATACTATATTTGCATATATATAGTGTAGATATAGATATATAGGTAAAAAGATAGATATCAAATCTAATTTGAAAAAAAGATAAAAGTAAAATAAACATCATTTAAAAGAGAGAGAGAGAGAGAGAGAGAGAAATGTGGGAATTCAATTGCGGATAATGAAAATTTTTAAAAAGATAAGATATTTATGAGAGATTATGTATGATTAGAAGATAATTTAATTTTTGTTATATCGAAATAAAGGCATATATATTTTCTTGAATAGTAGCAAAATAAATTTACTTTTTTAATAAAGCTGTAATAGAATAAAATATATTTAATTTTTAAATTGCATGCTTGATGATAATTTTTTTTTTAAAAATACATTGATAGAAAATTTTAAAATTGATAGTAGTCAATTGTTATCATTATAGCCAAAAAGAATTTAATAGTGGTCCATCATTAACCAATAATTTTGGATAAAATCATGGATAGCCGATAAAAAATCAACATTTAGCAACTTAAATTTTGTAAAAAATTTAAAAAAAAAAATTGAAAAATTCAGAAAAAAAAAGTATTGGAATTCCACAAATCATATAGTTAAATATTTTAATTAATTTTAAAATTTAAATGTTAAATCCAGTAATATTATGCCATGTGTAATAATTCAAAATTTAGATAATACACTAATAGATTTGAGTCATTTTTTTTTCTAATATTGTAAAAAAAAAATATTCAAAATTTTAAATTATATATGTTTAGATAAAATTTAAAGATTTTAAAATTTTAAAATTAAATATTGTTAGATGTACCAATCACTTTAAGCCAAATATAATTTTGTTTTCAAAAATTTTAAAATTGAGAAATTGTGTTTAAGGTTTGAAGTTGTTGTGTGTGTTTGTGTTGTAGATGATCCGAAGAACTCTCATTTGAGGGAGCTTGAAGGAGCAAAAGTGAGATTAACTTTATGCAGAGCTGATCTTCTTGATTTCGAGAGTTTGCGCAAAGCTATTAACATGTGTGATGGTGTGATAGACATGAGATAAAGTAAATTAAATTAAATTCAAGATTTGACGAGTTTCGAATCTGATTAAATTGAAAAACAAAAGCAAATTACAAATTAAAAAGTAAGCCCGCCCAAATCATGCGAAATGTAATAATAAAGAAGATGAAAAGATATGTAGATAAATTGAAAAATAATCGAAAAAAGAAATATATATATATATATACACAAAAGTAATAAACACTGAAAAAATACATATAAAGTAAGAAATAATATTATGAGCATAAAAATGAAAAAAATGAAAATATATGCAGATGAACTAAAAATATTTAAAAATATATATATACACAAAGTAACAAACACAGAAAAAATGCATATAAAGTAAAAAATAATATTATACTGACCTTGTAATGATTTTTTGCAAATAATCAAACTTGCAAAATGTAACAATGGAGAAGATGAGTTATGATGAGAAAATAAAAGATGACTGGAATAAACTGAATAGAGAAATGTGTGTGTGGAAGTTGTAGGAGTTGTCGGTTTCTTTTTTTCTTTTCTTTTTTAAATTGAGATTGAGAGTGAGATAGATATTATTGTGAGTGATGGATATAGATGAATATTTTATTATTTTTGGATAAGTATTATTATGGGTGATGGATATGAATGAATATTTTATTATTTTTTAATTTTATATTTTATATAGGGAGAAGGAGTGAGAAGGCTTGAAGAGTGGGAAGGGAGATAAAGGGAAGTACCACGTAATATTATTTTTTTTCAAAATTATGAGAATTTAGGATTCAAGTTTTAGAGTCTTTTGACTTAACAACTACATATAGTATAGATAGATAGATAGATAGATAGATAGATATATACATTTTTTTATCGTCGAAAATTAATTGTTAATTGTTAGATTAATACCTATAAGAGTTAGTCTTCTTACCCTTTCAAAGTACTAAGCGCTTGTCTCTAGGGTTACAAGCGTGCCCAGCCAAGCCGAGTTAAGTTCACTACAGGAAAATGACGATTTAACGGCGTTTAATTAACGGCGTTTTATTAAATGTCACTTTTTTGATAATTAACAGCGTTTTTTAAACGTCGCCTTTGTTGTTAGGTAAAACGGTACCATTTTGTAAATAGAAGACGTTTAAAAAGCGCCTCCAAACCCTGTCTCTCTTCCCACCCTCTTCCCTGTCTCTCTTCACACCCTCTTCCATCTCCCTAAACTTTTATTTTGAAAACCCTATTTTGAGCACCGTCGTCTCCTTCATACTCACTCAAATCTCTCACTCACTCGTCTCTCTCTCTCTCTCTCGATTCTTCTTCGGTTCAGTCATTCTTCTTCGATTCTTCTTCAGTTCGGCGATCCATCTCGGGATTGCGATTTCGAAGTTCGATTTTGAGCATAGATCAGTGATTCATCTCCGTGGATTTGGAACTCTTCGTCTTCTTCAATCAGAGGTTAGTTGCTCTCCCTTTCTCTCACTCAAATCTCTCTCGATTCTTCTTCAGTTCGGTGATTATTCTTCAGTTCAGTGATTCATCTCAGATTGCGATTTCGAAGTTTGATTTTGAGCATAGGTCCGTGATTTGTCTCCGTGGATTTGGAACTCTTCATCTTCTTAATTTTCAAATGCAACCAAACATAGTCAGATGAAAAGAGCATTAATATTTTTGTGCAAAATATTTTTGCCTAAAATATATTTTCCGGGGTAAGAAATATTTTAGATGAAACAAATGGAGCCTCAAAAGGAAAAAAGAAGAAAGAAACAGAGGCAATAACACAACATTATGGTCTTTTAAAAAATCTGGCCTTGTTAACTCAAATTCTTGAAACCAAATTCTGAAGACAACAAACGAAAAGCAAAATTTTGATCTTTCTATGCATTGTATAATTTCTCTCTCTCTCTCTCTCTCTCTCTCTCTCTCTCTCTCTCTCACGCGCGCATGCCTATCTGCGTTAAATGTCCTTCAAAATGTAAAACCAATGATAAATCATGGACAAAATATTCTGGTTGTGGTAGCATTGCAGCTCAACTCTGTCTTGTTTGAATTTCCTCTGTTTCTTGAGGGACCAAACAAAAGGCTAGTGCAATTTTTTTCACCCCTTCTCTTTTGCCTTAGGAGCTCTACCCTCCAGAATCTATTTGGTATGTTGTGTTGAAAGTATTTTTCCGTGCTAAATGTTTTTCCTTAGGGGAAAATGGACTTGGAGACAAGTAAATGAAATTTTGGTCTGAATCTTTGTGGATTCAATTCTAGTGACAGCAGTGTAATTTAGTGAGGAAAGATTTTGTTTAAGAAAGTTCCTTTTAGAGTATTTATTATGTTAACTTGTAGGAAGAATTGGAAGTTCTTTTTGAAGAGTAGGAAGTGAAGAGTGATAAATATTTGATCTGGAACCCATAGGTTGAGTTACCAAAAGCATCAACATGCTTTGATTCGGACTGTTAGCATTAGTTATATTCAAATGTGGTTTAGATCTTCATTAAAGTCTAGTTCATGTAATTGCAGGAGAAGAATGAGTCCATTTTTTATGGTAAGGAAGAAAATGGTTTTGAAGTGGTCGAATTCGAACTGCCAGAGCTGGATCTATTCTTGGTAAGAATGTCCTACTTTGGTTATGTATATGTTGTATCTATATGTCCTGAATGTAAATTATGTGTCATGAAGTTTCTTATATAATCTATTCTATGGTTCTTGTAGGAAAATGCTTGCTTCTTTGAAGAAGAGAAAGTGCAACTTTTTGATGCAGTTGGAGAGGCTGATAATAATGTGGTAAAAGTTTAAATACTATGCCTGCTTGTGTTTACAATCAACATCTTTTGATTTCCTTAGCCACAGCTTTTGTGAGTGGCAAAAGAGCAACTCAAATATGGTGAAGCTTTTACCTTGTTATTGTCAACATTTTGATTACTATATGATCACAATGGTGGTGGTATGATGACACTGAACTTGAAGTATACATTTTTTAGGTGGTGGTATTATCACAATGTTTAAACAAGCAAGGTACCAAAACTGAAAAAAGAAAAAACGAAAAAGAGACAGCATTGTGAGAGAGGGAAAATGTCCAAAATAAAAAATATAAAATGAAGGACTTTAGGCATTAAATTTTTTTGGCTTGGACTTCTCATAAGATGTAATTTATTTGAAGGACTTTTGGCCAAAAATCCTTTATTCATTCAATTAGCAATTCGATGCACATATTTGAAAATCAAAATTGTGTAACAAAGATTCACACCAAAGTGAGTTGTGTTCTTTTTATAATAGATATATGGTTCAGTCATGTACAATGAAGACCTGTAGATGTAATGGTTAGGAAGAGTGATATGGTTAGCATAAATAGAAATTTTAGGGAAGTTGATTTGCTTGTGTAGAGCCTTGTAATTGTTGGCAGCAGATGATCTCTGTCTGTCTGGGAGCAGAGGATCTCTGTCTCTGTCTCTCTCACACACACACACACACATTATTCATCATAATATCTGAGCATATTATATACACAAACATGTATATATATAACTGAGCATTTTATGATGTCATTATATGCCGCGAGTGCTTGAAATATGCAGCCTGTGGGGTTTGCCACTCTGATCTTCACGTAATCATAGGTGAACTTCCATTTGCTAGCCCTTGTGTTGTGGGTCATGAGATCACAGGTGAGGTGGTTGAGCATGGGCCCCTCACGGACACCAAAATCATTGAAAGGTTTACTTAAATTTTCTTTAAAAATATGCTGTAATTAATCACGGTTCACTAAGAACTCCCAAAATGATGGACTGGTCCTCAACATGGATAACAGGATTAGTTTTGCCTTGATTCTTCAGATTTCCAGTCGGAGCTCATGTGGTTGGAGCTTTCATAATGCCTTGCGGTAGCTGTTTCTTCTGTAATAAGGTGATTAAATCAACTAATTCCTCAACTTTTCTTTCCCTTGATCTTATTTGGTCTCTGACATTGCGACTTGCTGGTGTCGATATATATAATACATGGTGTCAATCTTATATAGTAAGTTTTTTTGAGTGAATACAGGGTCAAGATGACTTATGCGAGGATTTCTTCGCTTCTAACCGTGCAAAAGGAACCCTTTATGACGGAGAAACCCGCTTGTTCCTCCGCAACAGTGGTAACTGTTTCGTTACCACTTACAATTTACTTCATCTTAATATGAACTTGAATACTCAATTTTCAACACATTCTAATTGAGCACTTTTAGTTTTCGTTATGTAATTTTTCCTTTTGGATATTCTGTTTGTGTTAGGCATGTTGATTTCTCGACAGAGTAGTTTTAGTTACTCGTCATATAAGTGCTGGCCTCTTCTTACATGTGAAACTCAACAGGGTTGAGTGGCCTCTTCTAAAGCCAAATCTTCTGTCCTGTTTGGTTGCTGAGAAAGTGGGGGGAAAAAGTAAAGAAAATGAATTTTTTGAGTCCTACTGGATACTGTCATTTCTGGGTTTTGTTGTATATTATTTATGTAGTTGATGAATTCGTTGATTGTTGAAAGGTCTGACATGATTGTATTTTTATCAAAATTATATATACAATTTTGACTGATAGCAATTTTGTGGCTTTGTATACAAAGTAGTAATTAATTTTTTGGTTGAGAATTGTGAATACAATTTTTTGATATGTTATTTTGGGGGTAATATTAAAATATCATCTGTGGATATGTTATTTTGTGGGTAATGGTAATTGGTGAATGGGAAAGTGAATTAATGATGCATTTGCTATTTGAATGTAAGTTATTATTTCATATTAGTGTTATTCATTTTTATTATATGTATTTTTTTAGTTTAATCACATAAATTAGCACAATTTCAAAAAAAAAAAAAAGGGAGATATCACGGCGTTTTTTAAAAACGCCACTTAAAACCCAAAATATTAACGGTTAGATTTTTTTAAAAAGATATGACGGCGTTTAAAAAATGTCGCTAAATATCATAATGACGTTGTGGTATTGTAAAGTAAGACATTTAGCGGCGTTTTTAAAAACGCCGCCTATACTAATATAATGATGTTTTTAAAACGTCAGGAAGTTATAGCGACGGCCGCGTCCTCGGCGCTTGATGTTAAGCGTCGCAAAAAGAATTAGCGGCGTTTTTGACACTTATAGCGGCGTTTTTTAAGCGCCGCTAAAAGCTAAATTTCCTGTAGTGGTTTTTGAGTGTCCAGGCTTATTTGTTAAGAATTAGTCGAGGTCAAACTCGAGTTGAACTTAAATAATTGAGCTCGAGTTTAGCTTGTCAAATATTTAATAAACTCGAACTCACTCGAGTTTATATGAACAAGCCGAGTTCAAGTTCAAGCTTGAAAAAAAATTTAACTTAAATTAATTTACTTATTAATAAAAAAATAGAAAATTATGAACAAAATATACACAAATGCTTATATTACTAATAAATTTCATTAATCAAATATGTAAATTTATTGAAATACCAAACACAAATTAAAAAAATATATATTATTAAAAATTCATTTAATATATTATTAAAAATAAATATTAATTTATTTTCTTTATGTTCACGAGTCTTATTTAGCTGAGTTTTGGACTACTCGAGCTCAACTTGATTAATAAACAAGCCTAAAAATCAAGTTCAAGCTTGATATTTTATTCATAATTTGATCCCACAATAATAATATACACCATTGATTTAAAAGACCAAATAAATTTATGATAACTTTTCTGAGTTTATAGAATTTCCCTCTTTTAATGTTTTGTTTAATTTGATACAAGTTATTTATGTTATCAAGTGATTGTGATACTATTATTCTCAACAATTTTTATAATTAATAATTTTTTTACATAGACATAATTTAAGATTAAAATGATTTATTTATCACACAAAATATATATATTTTATTTTTTCCGTACATTGCACGGGTTACCGCTACTGATTATGAATTGAATGTGATGTTTTATCTTATTGGGTTAAAATGTCTATTTTGTTTTTTTGTGACTAAAATAGTCAAAAAACTTGACATGCCAAACGAAGGCTCAGTAATATAAGTTATTAGTAATTTCTTTTTCTCTATTTTATTTTACAAATGGACAGGTTAGGTTGGGCATTAATTAATATTTTTTTTGTGATCAATACTTTATATCTCAAGCCTAACTCAAATATTAACAGACAAAATTTAAGCACAATCCAATTTTATAAGTAAAACAAATTTTCCAAATTTTAATATATCATACGAGAGTGGGTGTGTTGGACCGGCCAAAATAGTTTAAACCTGTTAACTATGAAAGGGAGCTCTTCCTAATTTGTTAAGTTATTTTGGTTTGTAGTATACAAATTTGGTTATAACTCAAATTTATTGTTTTTGATAGGCACATATGGCTTCACATAGAATAGATGGACTATCTTAATACCTCAAGGATTAGAATTTTAGGGACAATTCAGTGTTAATAGTATATCCATGCAAGGATTTGCCTCCGTATTGCAGAGATAAATCATATTTCATAAGTTCCATATTTTCCTTTTCAGAGTTGATTTCTAGAGACTCTTTGTTTTCTAAATTGATAAATACATAGTTATTGTGGTATTTTTTTTTGAACCATCTTGATGCATATGAGATTTAAATATTATATATTTTAGAATTAATATTTAGTTAGAATATTTAATTTAGCATAGAATGGTATAAATTTATTTAATTTCTTAATTTGATTTTATAAAATTTTCCTACTCTATTAGTTTTAATTTTAATTTTTTATTTTATTAGTTTCTTATTGTCCAAGAAGTAAGTTTATTATGATAAATAAGGTTGTAAGCTTTAGGATTATTCAGTTTCAGTTTATATTTTAATTTCGTTTTTAGCATATAGAATGGTATAAATTTATTTAATTTCTTAATTTGATTTTATAAAATTTTCCTACTCTATTAGTTTTAATTTTAATTTTTTATTTTATTAGTTTCTTATTGTCCAAGAAGTAAGTTTATTATAATAAATAAGGTTGTAAGCTTTAGGATTATTCAGTTTCAGTTTATATTTTAATTTCGTTTTTAGCATAGAATGGTATAAATTTATTTAATTTCTTAATTTGATTTTATAAAATTTTCCTACTCTATTAGTTTTAATTTTAATTTTTATCTGTAGACCACGAAATTAATCTTTATAAATTATTTATCAATTTTTATATGTTTATTTATCTATAAGTCATGAAATTAATTTTTTAAATAATTTTTTTAATTTTTATCTTTATCTATAGGCCATGAAATAAATTTTCATAAATTATTTATTAATTTTTATATGTTTATCTATAATGAAATTAATTAAAGTACAAAATGAAGGAGGAAAAAAGATTCATTTTTTTCAAATCAATTATTTAATCTTTATCTTTATTTGTAGGCCATAAAATTAATTTTTATAAGTTATTTATCAACTTTAATTTGTTTATTTATGGGAAGCAATTTTAAATTTTCTATATATTGTGAAATTAATTTTTTTAAATTAATTTTTTAATTTTTATCTTTATTTGTAGACTATAAAATTATTTAGATATATATGTTTTTGATAGATATATAGATTAACAAATCATATCTTTATCTAAATTTTATTATTTTAATTTTTTATAAATCAATTATTTAATCTTTATCTTTATCTGTAGATCACGAAATTAATCTTTATAAATTAGTTATCAATTTTTATATGTTTATTTATCTATAAGTCATGAAATTAATTTTTTTAAATAATTGTTTTTATTTTTATCTTTATCTATAGGTCATGAAATGAATTTTCATAAATTATTTATGAATTTTTATATGTTTATCTATAATGAAATTAATTAAAGTACAAAATGAAGTGGGGAAAAAGATTCGTTTTTTTTTTAAATCAATTATTTAATCTTTACCTTTATTTCTAGGCCGTGAAATTAATTGTTATAAGTTATTTATCAACTTTCATATGTTTATTTATGGGAAGAAATTTTAAATTATTTATAAGTCATGAAATTAATTTTTTAAAATTAATCGTTTAATTTTTATCTGTATCTGTAGACTATAAAAGTAATTTTCAGTTTTTATATGTTTATCTATATGGAGAAATTTTGAAATTCAAATCTTTATCCATAAGCAATGAAATTAATTTTCACTTTAATTAATCAAACAAATAGAAAATTAAGAAAAATAGAAAATATGGATGACAATCAAAGAAGGTTGCCACGTAGGAAAGAAGGAGTTATATAATTATGAAAATTTAGGAATAAATATTTGGAGGCTTTTACAAAATAAGTACATTTATTTTTTTAATTTTTATCTTTATCTATAGGTCATGAAATAAATTTTTTTATGTTTATCTATTATGAAATTAGTTGAAGTACAAAAAGAAGGAGGGAAAAAGATTTTTTTTTTAAAATCAATTATTTAATCTTTATCTTTATTTATAGGCCGTGAAATTAATTGTTATAAGTTATTTATCAACTTGTATATGTTTATTTATGAAATAAATTTTCATAAATTATTTATGAATTTTTATATGTTTATCTATAATGAAATTCGTTGAAGTACAAAATGAAGGAGGGAAAAAGATTCCTTTTTTTTTTAAATCAATTATTTAATCTTTATCTTTATTTGTAGACTGTGAAATTAATTGTTATAAGTTATTTATCAACTTTTATATGTTTATTTATGGGGAGAAATTTTAAATTATATATAAGTTATGAAATTAATTTTTTAAAATAAATTGTTTAATTTTTATCTTTATCTGTAGACTATAAAATTAATTTTCATAAATTAATTTTCAGTTTTTATATGTTTATCTATATTGAGGAATTTTGAAATTCTAATATTTATCCATAAGCAATGAAATTAATTTTCATTTTAATTAATCAAACAAATAGAAAATCAAGAAAAATAGAAAACATGAAAGGTAATCAAAGAAGGTTGCCAAGTAAAAAAGAGAGAGTTTTATAATTATGAAAATATAGGAATAAATATTTGGAGGCTTTTAAAAAATAAGTACATTTATTTTTTTTAATTTTTATCTTTATCTATAGGTCAAGAAATAAATTTTCATAAATTCTTTATGAATTTTTATATGTTTGTCTATAATGAAATTAGTTGAAGGACAAAATGGAGGGAAAAAGATTCCTTTTCTTAAAAAAAATTAATTATTTAATCTTTATCTTTATTTGTAGACTGTGAAATTAATTGTTATAAGTTATTTATCAACTTTCATATGTTTGTTTGTGGGAAGAAATTTTAAATTATATATAAGTTATAAAATTAATTTTTTTAAATAAATTGTTTAATTTTTATCTTTATTTGTAGACTATAAAATTAATTTTCAGTTTTTATATGTTTATCTATATGGAGGAATTTTGAAATTTAAATATTTATTCATAAGAAATTAAATTAATTTTCATTTTAATTAATCAAAAAAAATAGAAAATCAAGAAAAATAGAAAACATGAAAGGCAATCAAAGAAGGTTGCCACGTAGGAAAGAAAGAGTTTTATAATTATGAAAATTTAGGAATAAATATTTGGAGGCTTTTACAAAATAAGTACATTTATTTTTTTTAATTTTTATCTTTATCTATAGGTCATGAAATAAATTTTCATA